TTGTTGAGAAATTCTGTAGTGTAACCTAGCTTCTTCCTACACAGCGCCCCCGTGGTCAGTCAGTCTCGAGACTCTCACCCGAGAGGAAGTACAGCGCTCCCGTTGAGAAACGTTTAGTTTATAGTCTCTCATCCTGATAGGGTATAAATTTAGCTCAACCCTGCATATTATTTGGGCCATAGACTCTCACCAGGAGAAGAAGTATCGGGTTTTCGGCTTAGTGGAATCCTTCCATGAATCTATAATTATCTGTCTTTAAATGGTGTAAATATTGTATGTCTCTAACTGTATGTGTATGGAGTGTGTCAATAAAGCAGTGAGTTCTCCAATCTGTACCTCAAGTATCTTAACCCAACCACACCCAGTTACAATCCAGTTACCCTACCTGCAAACTGTAGTAGTGAATAATTTATTATAAAATTTTTATTCTTTTCATTAATCATAGTAATTATAATTATAAAAAAGTAAATATTCACATACGTTACTAAGGATGTCAAGAAGTTAAACAAAATTTTGTAGTATCGAGAATTTTGTTTCAAAAGTCTTACACTGGTCAGCCCTTTTAGCCATTTCGTGATGATATGACCTAAATAAAGTAAGTACTTTTATTTATTTATAGTTTTTACGTGTAATTTTAAGGATCGTATCTCACCATATAAAAAAAAAGATTAAGTGTACTTATAAAAGTGTGGCCAAGTGTTCCTAATTGTATATTTCGTTCTGTTCCAACAGGGCTCTGTTTGGTCCATTGGGAGAGTGCATTTGACACCAATGCTGTGAATAAAGGCAACATTCCCAACTCACTGGACTATGGGATATTTCAAGTAAGTACACTGCATACTTTCAGATTAAATTTATTTATTATAGTATTACAGCAGATTTTCTCTAAATCTACATCTACGGAACCGGACATCTGTCGGATCACATAGAGTGCCCGGACTACAGAGAGTCAATAGAAAAATATACACTAGACTGTGCTGCTTCTAAATTTTCATGTTAGAACAATCAGGATTGAAAAAAAGGACACCATAAATCACAGTATAGTGGCAATTAACACACATCACAAAAATACTACCAACAAACGTTAACATGTGTTGGGTACAAGCAAGTTAAACAGACAACGAATGTGGTAAAGATCCAAATAAAAGTTGGCAAAGGATACAAAGTGGAAAGAAAAGGTTCACGTTTAAACAGGGAAGAAAAGTCACTTGTTCCAATATATACGTTGGACCCGTAGTGTTGTAGGATTAGAAAATGTGTATTGTATTATTACTGTGTTGAAAATCAGTACTCGTGTTAATGGTGATTATGTATAATCACCGGAGGATTAATCCGGTGATCATACATACTTTTAACGTAATCATGCATAATTACCAGTGATTACGAATAATCACCTGATAATCAGCCGGTGATTATACATAGCGTTAAAATAATTATGCGTAATGTTAACATAATTACCGGTGATTATGAATAATCACCTGATAATCCCCGGTGATTGTACATAATGTTAACATAATTATGCATAATTACCGGTGATTGTATATAGTGTTAACATTATTATGCTTAATTACCGGCGATTATGAATAATCTCCGATTAATCACATTCACTTTAACATATACAACAATATAGTCATGTAAATCACGTGCATTATTTTTTAATAATATAGCCGCAGTGTGAAGATCTACCTTCTACTCTGCAGAGTAGGAAGTAGATCTTCATAATCCGGCAGCAACAGACCATCTGGACGTCCAGTAGGAATCGAATTTTACAACATTGGCAATGCCCTCCACCGTCGAGCTGAAAGGAGTGCATATCCCAACAAGGGGGATTCACAATGAAAAACACATCGCCAAGTACCTGTTTTGAATTTTATTGGCGCTCGCCAAGGAGGCGAAAAATAATTCAAATTATCACCTTATTTTTTAATGGCAACCCATTCAGGCGAGAGAGGACTGTCGGCCATGTCCGGAATTAAAAAGAAAGCTACTTTCCCCCAGTAACATCCTACATCACCATATCAAGCACAAGCAATACTTTCCTGAATACATTTTTTAAAAATTAATTTTATTTGCATCATTAATATTAAATTCAACTTCTTAAGTACTGTGCATTAATTTCATTTCCGTACAATGTCCCTTGCATGAGTAGCATTTTTTTCTCATGGGAAGAGTTTTGGCATTTCCTTCCCATGAGAGAGGAATATATGTAATTTGAATATATAACAACTAACAGAAGTGTATATAATAACTAATCACTCAAATTTGACAGCAGACAATCTTTATTGTGGGTAGTTATATTACATGTCATTAGTGTTTTATACTCATGAGAACAACCTGTCACTCAAATCTGATAGCAGATCTTCGGTATCAGGTAAAAATGAAACTCTGAAAATTAGAGAATGTCTGTGCAGCCTTCACAAGTCAAAACAATTACAGATGGAATATCAACCACTTGATATACCACGAATTGTTCCATTGTGATGTGTGATAGACCAGGAGCTGAGAAATGTCTACGCCAATGAGAAGTGAGAGAAGCTGACCCCCTCCTCAACCCTCTTGACGGATTGTCTTAAAAAGGAGATTTTTGGTGAAGAAGAGAGAATTCTGCAACGAGTGACAAGAATTCTTTTTTTTTTTCTTCTTTTTTTTTCTCTGAAGTAACTGAATAAGCCAGAGTTTTCCGCCTTTTCTCAAAGTGAGCCCTTGTGGTTTCGTGAATCACGCCATGTGATAATTAAGGTGTCTAGATTTGTCATAAACTCGAAAACTCTGAAAATCTCCGAACTTGGAGTGAACTGCACTTGTGTATCTAATTTATATACTTAATTATCATTTTTTTGTAAATAGAATTCTGTATATATATATATATATATATATACACATTCAGATAATGTTTGTAAATAAAATTTGAAGTGTCTCCATGAACCCCCTTGAAGCCGTTATAGGTCTAGTATAGGCAGAGATGTTACAAAATACTTATACTTACAGAAGATAGAAAAGATGCTTTAAAAAATATATATATATATATTCCTGTCAATAAAATTTGAAATTATATCTTTCAGATAAATGATGACAAATGGTGTCAGAGTCCTTTAAGGCCAAGCCAAAACAGATGCGGTATTTCATGTGAAAGTAAGTTTTTCTTAATTTAAATGTTAGTGCTTGAAATCAGAGACTTACTAAAGTAGGGGGCTTATGTAGAAATTTTTAGTAAAAGGATATACTTTGTCTTAACAAATTGCACTTGAAGAAATTTTCCTTGCAGCACTTGCAAAGAATAAACCTTCTCTTCCATTTTCATTGGCGCAACATCCCCGTGGTGGGCCAAGGCCATCTGCCTACTGGCAGATAAAAAATAAGCCTTATTTGAATTATATTAAAATTGTTTTCATCCAGTTTAACTAAGACACATGGATTGTGAATCCTGTATACATCGCTATTTTAACATTGGGGGATGGATTTCGCGAGTTTTTGTTTTCACGTAATCAAAATAGACAATTACAGTATAAAAAAAAAAATTCAAAAACATGCTACGAGGTTTGTCCATAAAGTAACGTGACTGGTTTTGTAGCTCACTTGGAAAGCAACCAAAATCAAATGACAGCCAGGAGACAATGATCTGAATTTGTCTGAGCATAGAGTAGCAATAAAATAGAGAGCGTCCCCTACTCCAAAGGAACAGAAATTTCAGCTGAAGATCTTCCCGTTCTTTTCGTATTTGAGTTGGCGCTGTATCGCCACTTGGCTCCTTTTCTATGCCTCATTTATTCAGAAAACGGAAACCTATAACGGAGCAACCCTGAAAATTCCGAAAATGCCTGGAATTCTTCTTTTCAAGCCATAAATTTAATTTATACAACTATGTGTCTTCTAAAGATAAATAAATAAAAAGAAATGAATACTTTGTTTATTAATTTGATGATTTTGTGCGAAGCATAAGAAACATTACAAAAACATTATCTTGGAATCAAGACAAATACAATAAATGTTTGAATACGTATATTAATAAAAATAATCGTAATTCAAATAGTGTCCACCGTATTACTCTATCCCAATATTTATCGTTCATCCTCTTTGTTCGGCAAGTTATCATTGCCATTAAAAATATTAAGGTTGATATCCCTTCATCAATGTCATATTGAAGGACAAAGAGTCATAAAGAATGTATAACCCTAATAAAATTTGGTTGATATCATTTTTACCATGCATACAAAAGTATTTACGAAACACAAAAGCTGAAACACATGACTGATATGCTAAAAAACAAGATTTCAAAACCCAAAGATTACATGATAGACATGGAGAGAAGGAAACGTGGCTGCATAAAAGAGCTTTTAAAATGATCAGTTTGGTAATTGATATAAGTTTTCGAAATTTCATTTCTATTGCAGCACTTTATTAAGGTTTCTTGTCATTTAAAAGTTTGTTGTTATTTATTATTATAGAGAAACATACCCATTCGTTTTTAGTAAGCTCGTAATTTTATAAATGAGATATGAATAATTAGGGAATTTTTTTTCTAATGCAGCTGGCAAACACTTAATAGCTTGGTCTTGGATGCCTTAAGGCAAGCGATGCACAGACGTCTCTCACTTTGCATTACCCAGGGGGCACGTGTCACTTGAAGATAAGCTACGGACGCGGATAACAATGCCCCCAATGCTCTAATCCTGTTAGACCGGGACCTACGGTTTAAAGGGATTTCGAACCACTACAAACATCCATGGCACCGCCTGGACTCGAACCCGAAACCTGGGGTACCGAGCGCCAGAGCGTTAGCCACTCGGCCATTCAGGCTCATGATTAGTGAAATTAATAATTTAAATAATATTTACATAGATATAAAACGAGATTACTTAAAATTGATGGAGAAAAATGGTGCTTGAACATTAAAAGCAGATTCAATTCATTAATATCATGCTTTCATTAATATCCAGTCATTTAATTATTATTCTAATTCATATAGTCTAATTTAATTATTCTAATTCATTAATCATGGGGGTCTGATGGCCGAGTGGCTAGCGCTCTGGTGCTGGGTACCACAGATGTTTGTAGTGGTTCAGAATCCACTTTAAACCATAGGTCCCGGTCTAACAGGATGGTAGAGAGCGTTGCGGGTAGTGTTACTCCGCGTCCGTAGCTTATCTTCAAGTTACACACACCTCCTGGATGCTGCTAAGTGAATAAAATCACTGCAGCGCTTGCCTTAATGCATCAAAAACAATTTTCTAAGTGTTGGCCACCTGCATTAGACAGAAAAACAATATTATCTTAGTTTGAAATAAAAATAAATCATCGCAAAACAAGTCATTATAATAAATGAATATTTTATTTTTTAATCATTTTGGAGAGAAAATATTACACAAAATTTGCTTGTGACGAATCTTCAGTGTCCAGCAGCGCAGGTCAAACACCCCTGCCGCCAGCGGATTGAACATCAGCAATTTATTCTGTGGAATATAGTAAATCGCCGTGGATATGTCATCCTTGGACAGTAGATGATTTACTGTTATCTGAACATCTTTAATGGAGATATCCATTCATTTCCATTGGGTCAATAAATCTTTTTGGAAACTTAAAATCATCTGTAGCAGCGGTGGCCAACCCGCGTCCCACCTTGAATATTTTTTCCGGCCCGTGAGATGTATCCCACTTTTACAAAATATATTTATTTTTTTAACGTCCAAAGTAGTGAAAAGCAATGTATTAAAAAATACATTATGTGTGCGTCCACTTATTCAAAAATGAACTCTCGAAATGACAAAAAAAATTAAATTTGATTTTAAAATAATATTCTTGCGAATATAGGACAGATAGTGCTTGTTTTATTCATGAGTTTACAGTTACAAACATCTAATATAACGTTCTATGTTTCACTTTAAGTGACCATCCCTAGATATGCACAGTTGATTGTTGATACAGAGCAAACCAGACTCTTAGTTGAAATTATTATGCTTTTGATTCAACTTACACCTGCGAATCGTTTTCCCCAAAAATGAAATTGACCAAACACAAAACAACATCAAACATAACGGACGCTCACCTGCAACACCCATTACGATGTGCAAATACCAAATGGAGATCGATTTGCAAAAGCTAAGAAAAGAGTGGAGAAACAAATATCGCACTAGTCAAATAAATATTTTGATTTCATTTTTTAAATTTAATTTCCGTGTTTTCTATATTTCATTTTTAGTGTTACATATTTCTTTTACAATGTGCGTTTAGTATCATTATCCTTATTATATTATTATTGATTACATGTAAGTATAGTAGTAAATACTATAATAATAACTCATTATGTTTCAATCTATCAATCCAAAATGTCTATAGTGGGTCTAAATCTAATATGGCATAAAATATTAGATTATAATATAATATAAAAATATATATAATTTTATAGGCGGCCCACGGAGTTTTGATGCATTTCAAAGTGGACCGCATGATCATTTGGGTTGGCCACCCTGGTCTAGAATTATCATTTAAAAAAATGTTAACTATATACACGATCAATTCATTAAATTTCGAAACCCAAAAGATTATCGTAGTATAATAGCAGCGTTGCAGATTTTCAGATTAAACTTGAAATTCGAATATTATCATTTCATGAATTAGGGGGAAAAAATAGGGAGATTTAAAAATAACCCTATTAATAAGTTTAAAAAAAAAATAACGTGATATATAATGACTGTCTTTTTAAGTATATTGATGAACAGAGGTATAATGGAAGAGAACAAGTTGTATTTACAATGGTTCTAAGCATAATTGAATGATTATTGTTTTAAAATACAGGGTTGAAAGATGATGATCTAGCAGATGATGTGGCTTGTCTGCAGCATATTATTCAAGAGAGAGGTTTACATGAATGGTAAGTCCATGTTAGTTTTTGTTCAGTATTTGACATTTAAAATATATAAAATTTGGGCCAATTGGGATTTGGCGGAGCCAAATGGGCTATAAAATTGCCAAATGTGGCAACCCGTGCTTCTTGTACTGTTTACAATTAATTCACTTACTTGCAATTGCAACCCGTTACTTGCCGCAAAGATTTTTTTATGTCAAATCCCCAACCACCCCTATTCTGCAATTTTGCCAAAACTTATAGAAAAAAATCCAGTTTTATTAATCAGATATAAAATAAAAAATTATTAAATTTAATATAATACTTAATTAATTTAATAACCAAAAACTCTACACATAATTAATAATAATTACATTTACATTAACTATAAAATATAGGGGATTGTAGGAATGGTATATTCTACAATTCCAAACCCATATAAACTAATATATATACCTATATATAATACTTAACTGTTTTAACTTAACATTATTTAACACTTCCTAACATAATATAATACAATTAAAAGAATTGATTCAAAATGTGCTACACTAAGCTTACTTTTTTTTTATTATATCAATGTTGAATTTTAATATTTTTAGTAATTATGATCTACAATGAATAATGAACTGATACCTTATAGATCATGAAATTATATGGTATGTAATCTGTGAATAATATGTAAGATCTTAATGTTACTGAAAACGGTATCAATCTTTATTTATGTACATTCTGTCAAACAAATTGTATTTTGAATACTTTGAAAATATTATGTATTGTAATATTGCTATGTATACATATTAGTATTACATGTTACATAAATTATTTAATTCATGCACTTTATAAAATCTAAGACTAATGTGTACTACTAAAGCTTTAAAATTTAGTAACTGAAAATGGCTTCTTATCTTTGTCATCTGAATTTAATAATCAAGTCTTTAATGGGAATCATAAATGTTTAAATGAGTATTCTATTTCAGAAAACTTAACAATTTTTCTGAATGAGTTCTATTTTTTTGAATAATTTGATTTTGTTAATAGGATGTCCATGGCCCACGGTGCCATGGCAGCACAGAAGAATACTTCAAAATGAACTGACATCAAGGAGCTTTAATGTGGGCATGAAATTCAACATCGAGTCGCAGCTTTCATAAGATTTAATGTCAGCAAATTAAAGAACAACCAAATCTAGTGAAAATCAGGCTTTTGGTTTGACATCTCAACCAAAAGTGGGCTTCAAAGTCAATGTGAATGCTAAAGAAGCAAGATTTAACTTATTCTCGAAATTTCTTTTGAGCCTGTTATAGATAAAACCCTTTTTAAGCATGCACCAATATGTTAAGTGGTGAAAAGAAAAAAAGAGGAATTTCAAAAAGAAAGTTTAAATGTCAGGTTTTGTAAACTGAAATTCATACCAATTATTTTAATTTCTCATGATATTTGAGTTGCTTTTTTGAGATACAATGCTATCCTCTTTTTTAACTGTCATGAAATCATTCCCATGAATATATATTTATTGTTGAATAAATTGAATTAATAAATGATTATTGAATGAATTTTTTTCACTTTCATTATTTTTATTGGCGAGTATGTAGCAATGTCATTATAAGAATGAAAGTTCTAAAGCTTTATCTAAGATAATCTTTGTGGAAGTCAAACATGGAAATAATAAATATGGGGATCAATTAACGATCAGTTACTGGTGAAACCATACA